GCATCAACGTTAATTGCCTCTCCTTGCTCATTTGTTTTTATGCTGAAGTACTGCCATATAGCACTTCGCGCCCCTCGTTTGTCCACAAGTTGCGGGGTGGTGACTGTTACAGCAGCCATTCTCCTCTCCGTGCTCCTCTCTCTCTCTCTCTCTCTTGCTCTCTCCCTCTCCAACGTCTCTGCTCTCTCCAAGCTTTCCTCCTGCTCCGTTTGTTGCTCCAGTCCACGCTGCTCAGTGAGCAGAGGACGAGGAAGCTGTTTCCTGCTCTGTTTTCCTCTGTTGCGGGCGGGCACTGCAAGTACCAGTCCCATCCAAATGCAGTATAGTACCATTTTAAATGCCTCAGTACCGTGGTACCATACTAGTACCGGTATATCGTGCAACACAAGTAATATAGGTGCCAGTTTTTCTTTATTAGGTATACTAATGGATATAATCTAGTAAATAAATTAGGGTCACATTAGTTATAGATGTGTTAGTTATTGATGTATTATAATTACCTTATCCCGTAACCTAAAGTGATAATGATGCAGTATGGAAGGAACCAGAAATCTGGCTAGTTATCTGGTGAGCTATCTGAAATGTTTGGTGAGTTATTTTAAATGTTTGGTGGCTGGAACAGCAGTTGAAATGTTTGCTAGTGCTAGTGACTGTTTGGTAACAGTTAGCCTGAATTAGCCTGAGTAGATGAAGGGTTGTGTTGGGTGTGTGGGTGCGGGCACAGAGGGCTCTGGTTATGGGTACACACTGTTGAGCCTTCTCTGTGTCGTGGGCCCAACTCAGCAAAACACCAGTTAGTGAAAGCGGGCCCACCTGATGACCCTGTAGACTTGTCTTCACTCCTACACCCACACATGCCTTGTGTTGGTGATAACACAGCTACAGACTCACTGGAACTGCTAATAGTCTCCTTTTGTTAGACAGTCTTGGTAGAACAGTGCCAGTGGTTGGACAACTGAGTGGACCCGGTGACTACAAATACAAACCAGTTGGACCAGCTAATACATAACTTGAGTAAACACAATGTAGATGCTGTGTGTCACGTCCCATGTGCTTTTTGCCTGGGTGGGGCTAGGGTTCAGGAATGCTATGAGGCTTAATAATGAGTTAACATCATTTAACTCATGTACTGAGCTTCCATATGCATGCTCTCCCGTTCTTTGGCACATTTAATTGTGTATTATTGACTGTGAGTGCACAGTAACACTGACATGAGCATTTTAACATTTTGATCATCTTCTCCTGTCTGGATTTTGGAAGTCAACAGTAAGATGACAGTGGTCTTTTAATCAGTGATTTAAATTTAATTTTGATAAATGTAACTGACAGTTTCTTCCCCTTTAAGAAAACACACACAGCCTTATTTCACCATATTTGTAAGCGACAACATTGTATATGAACTTAGCTGTTTATGTTTGCCTACTGCCCACTGTTTGCTCTGTTAGGGTACCTGACAGGCAGTGAGGATTACTACACTCATGTCTGCTGTACTTTCATCACTGCTCTGAACCTCACTCGATGTGCGTTGGACCTGCAAGATGGAGAAGAAGTTAGCACTGTTTACAATGGAGTTTATTCCACTGAGCTGTTCAGCCAGAGAGCTGTCGGCGTCATTGAAAAACACAAATCTAAGAAGGTGACACACACATACATGTTTACCCTCCGTGATATATTTCATTCTTTAGCTCCCAACTCTGACCTTAAACAGGAAAGCCTGAAGTTCACCTAACTGTCAATAAGCTGGAGGTGGAGGTTTACGCCCTTGTTGAGCCACCTCTGTAAACATGAATCATTTGTTTGCTGGTCACTGCTGAGTGAGTCTCTCCATTTACAACATCACAGAGGCACAACTTCACATCTTGTCCAATTTATTTTTCAGCCGCTCTTCCTCTATGTGGCGCTGCAGGCAGTCCATGACCCCCTGCAGGTGCCAGAACGCTACACGGCACCTTACAGTTTCATCAAAGACCCTGACCGCAGGCTGTACGCAGGCATGGTGTCGGCCATGGACGAGGCTGTGGGCAACATTACTCTGGCTCTGCAGCAGGAAGGGCTCTGGGACAACACGGTGCTTGTGTTCTCAACAGGTATGTTTGTGTGTTGAAGCACTGGATAAACCATGCTTTTGCTGTCATAGCTGGGATTTGAACCCTGGTCAATATGATATCAAACATATGAGGAATGACTCAAACTAACAAACACCTAATAAGCCCTTGCTGAAACAAAGGTAGTAATGTAAAGAGACATGTTCCTGTAAAACCTTTCTCTGTCCTCATTATCTTCCTCAAGCAAACAGCAGGCTTGTCCAGCTCAAAGCTTTCTGATATGCTTCATCTCCTGTGTCGTAGTCCCTGTACAATGAAATTTACTTTGCCGTCCACATGAATGCCACATAATACAAGTGAAATATAAAGTAGATAAGCATAACACAAATCTAAATAGGCAGTAACACGGATCTAAGGAAGCAAATAAAAAATACAACAGGAACACAATATAATGCAAAGAGTGTGCAATTCTGCATGTGCAAACTGAGAATGTAAACAGTACATCACGTATTTCCTGGTAATAAACTCCTCAGCTGTTTAGGAGTCTGATGGCAGAGGGAAAGAAAGAGTTTTTCAGTCTAGAGGTCCTACATTTCACACTTCTGAACCAGGGGGTCCAGGGTGCCCTGTATACTGCTCTGAATGTGGGCCAGCATTCTCAAAACACTTCATAATGATTGGGGTGAGTGCCACTGGCCTGTAGTCGTTCAGGCAGGTGACTGGGCTCTTCTTGGGAAGGGGGACGATGGTCGTGGTCTTAAAGCAGGTGGGAACGATGCTCTGGCTGAGGGAGATGATGCAGCTGTAGAAGTTGCAGAGGATCCTAGGCGACATGCCTTGATCTTCATCTTTCTTCATCTCTTTCTTGTAGAGTAAAACAGAAGTGTGGTTAAGGTGCTGCTGTTGGTAACTGATGTCTACAGTCTCACGAGAAGCTACTAAATCTAACAGACATGCTGAGAAATACTGGTCTTTGCTTTACAAATGTCATGATTAGTCGCACTGTACCCTGTTATAAGTTTATTAGGTATATTTAGTTAAAACTAATGCAGCCTAATATGACAGTGTTGCAGCAAGTTTTCCCTTCATTATGGTGATGATTCAAATGTACAATCATTTTGTTGGATGTACTATGTGCTGCTGTTGAACTCTGCCACATTATAAACACTATACATAGGGTGGACAAATAAATAGATAAACCTGTCAGAGTAATGCCATTGCCATACAATTAAACATTAATATCTGCACCAAATGCATCATAATCCACCAAACAAATGGAAAGACATTTCATTGTTTTATGTTTGCAACAGATTTTTAGTCATTATGTGCCAGTTCTGAAACTAGTGGTTGTAATACTCTGGATGTCCACTAGAGAGCAGTGAACACTGAAAGAAGACTTGAGTTGGTTGATGTTTTCATAGACACCGCTGGAGTCTCAGTACTGGTGGACCTTGAAAATGATCCTTTCTCATAAACCTTTGATGAAGAACACACAAGGCTAAAACCACTTAAACTAGGTACAGGAATGCAGCACTATCTAAGCATGTGCCTATTCACTGCTTTCCACATCTGGAACTTCTAGTGAAATGCATCTGAAGTAGGTAAATCATTGAAAGGGGCTATTTTTAGGGGGTTTGTTTTTTACAGGGTAATTAGAGAACAATACTGTGAAAGTACCAGGCTAGGTTTTTATGGCTGCGGTGGCTGGTCTGTGTCATTGTTCTTCCACACATTTGATTGGCTGTGATATGGAGGACTTAGCGTTCCACGTGCTGGGCAGACACTGACTGTTGATCTGAGGTTATGGAAAAAAGTGAGATGCATTTCCTGGTTCTGTGTAAATGTGATGTTCCAGTTATGTAATCTCTCCTCACTGACTTTTGCTCCAGGATGTAGTTAATGAACACATTGTCATCACTTACTGAAAACAGTTATCAGAAGAATTAGTATTAGCTTCATTAGTCATATTTCTAGCTTATAATTAGATTTGGTTTTTCTTGTGGATAAGCTGATATAACTGACCTGCATGTGTCAAGCTCAACAGGAAAGAAATGAGCCCTGAACTTTTTCCTTTATGGTGAAATTTTCTGTAAACAGGGTACCTCACTGAGACTTGACTCTAAGCAACAGAGTGCAAAGGGAAGTGGGAAAGAGAGAATTGGCCTGTAGAGAGCCACGGCAGCTTGGAAAGGTATTAAGAAGCAGACGGTCTTTCCAGAACAGTTTGGGAATCGGCACAAACTAATTCCTGGACTTGCATGACACACTGCTGCTGAAGGGGGAGCGCGGGCTGGATGGGATTGGTCAAGTGTGTTTATTCTGGACCGAATAACAGGGATGATGACAGTGTGTGTGTACACTTGTGCAATGGTTGGATATTATGCAGGAATATTTGTCTCACAGGGGTGGAAATAGATGAGTGATGCTGTATTATTTTAAGGTATTATATAATTTGTTTTTAGCCATACTAACAGCAGAGTCTTTCCCTTAGTCCACCATTTCCTCAAGACTGACATATCTCAGCAAATATATGATGGGTTGCCATGGAGTTTTGTACAGAAGTTCTTTCTAAATACCTGAAGGTTTTCAGTTCTTCTGAGAAGTATTGCAACATTTTCTTGAGTGAGTGGCACCAAATGTTTCACAGACATTCATGGTTCCCAGAGGATGAAGCATTGAGTTTAGCGCCACCATGACGTCATAGTTATAGTTTGGAATTTGGTACAAACGAGCATGTTCCCATTAGGATGAACTGTAAACACTTTGATGAGTCTCTGGCACCACTGTCAGGTCAAATTTTTAATTTATCCAAGAGTTTATGATCAAATAGCTGCTAGACTTAACATTCCCATTGTCTGCTTTCTGCTTTGAAAGATAAACCAACTTTAAAAGCCATATTTCTGCAAATGGCACCTCTGTGCTCTCCTGAGCATCTCTTGACCTTTTCTTTAAATACAACAGTTTTTCCATGTTGTGGTTTTATTTGTTGTATCCTAATTGTCTTATTCTGTTACACCTTTAAATTCTTCTTGTCATATAATTGTTTTAGCATTTATAACATTACCTTTTGTTGTACTGTTTAGCAACTAGGTTTAGAAAAATGCTGTGTGAATAAAGGAAAAGGCTATTAGAGTACTCACTGGAACAGATGTGAAATATGCAGCCTTTTTGGTTTCCAGTACAGCGACATATCCCCAAACCCCTCAGTCATATCTGTTATCTTTAGATTTACTGATTTAAAATGTCTGTCTTTTTGTCTCCTGTCCACACCGGTGGTAGCAACTGGCCACTGCGAGGGAGGAAGTGGTCCCTGTGGGAAGGGGGGGTCCGGGGAGTCGGATTTGTCTCCAGCCCGCTGCTGAAACAGCCTGGGACTGTCAGCCATGAACTAATCCACATCTCTGATTGGTTGCCCACACTCGTTGCCCTGGCAGGAGGGAGCATCAATGGCACAAAACCACTGGATGGCTTCAACATGTGGGACACAATCAGGTGAGCTGGGCTGTTGAACTGTAAACCTTTTCACAGGTGTGGGCCTTGAATTCCCAGCTGAGCATGTTTATTAGGTGACAGGTTGGTGAGTGTTTCAGCATGAGCAATACCAGCTCTTCAGCTTGACCGCCTCCCCTCTCTTTCTGCCTCTTTTTGATCCGTCCCCCCACATGTACTTGTTCCAGCTCCCTCTGCCCGACCCAGTGTCTTTTTGTTGTAGGAGCCCCTGCTCCTTCAATAAGCCCTTTGTTAATGGGGCATTGGGAACCCAAAGAGAAGGAAATTCCATCAGTCATTCTCACACAGATCTGTAGTCCTTCTATCCCTCTTTTTGTCCTCTATCCTCCTCCATCCCCAACTCTTCCTTTAAGAACAATGAAAGCGTGCTTGTGGATCAGCTAATCAGTTTTTCCCGGATCCTTTAATGTTGCAGTACAAGAACATGCTGTAATTGGTTTATACACTACATGGTAAGATCCTCTGCTGGTCAAAAGTTTTTTTTCTACAACTGAAACCAAACACTGGGACAGACGGCACCGTAGCAGATGTTCCCACAGATGTGTTGCACCTGTCAGCTTCTTTGCTTTCACTCTTCACCTGGAAAGTCTGGACTCTGTGCTGCTGTTCCATCACGTTGAAGCCGACCACCTTGTTCTTTCCTCCTCAGCAGCCTGGAGCTGTTTGTGGCTCATTCTCCTGCTACAGGATGAAACCCTGAGAAGCTCTGACTTCCTGTGTTGATGGCCTTTTTTCTACATGATGCGTCAGAGGGAGTAGTAACTCTCTGCCTTTGTACAGGGAGAATCTGTTGTCAGTCACCAACAACAGTTGGGACCTGTAGGAACTGTTGCATCAGTTTTCAAGGTTTAGTTTGCTTCCACTGCTGCAGAAAAGCTGGACGTTAACCTGTTACTGGGTCCCTGAAAAAGGCCTCCTGTATATGAAATGTTCATACATTTTTTGTTTCTGGTGACTCTTAGCCTTGGACCATTTAATGGTATTTGTTGGACTTAAACTAGTTAAATGCCAAAATAAAAACTGGGAAAATGGGGGAGATTTCTGTTTTGGAGAATATTGCAAGAAAACTGTTAGTGATATAGTCAGTAGCATGAAGCTATTGGCAGGCCACAGATGTATTTTCCATGTTAGTTTGCATACAGGTCATCACACAAGTTGTTACCAAGTCCTGTTTGACTGACATTATATTTGTACACTAAATGTGGACAGGGTGAAGGAGGTGAAATTGAGGGCTACAGAAGAGCCGCAGCAGAAAACCGAGGCTAACCCAGGACCACATACTACTGTTCACAGCCTCCACTTGACTCGATTGGCTGACGTATATCAGCTGACTGCTGGCTGCTACCATTGCTCTGTGAGCTGCACATCAGCACTGTGCACAAACTGCTGTTTGTTTTTGCTGCTTTACAGTTTGATTCTACTGTAACTGGCCTGGCTGTTACAGAAAGCAGCAGCCAGTCAGCTTGGCCTGAGTAATAAAAACCAAATGAAGGACAGAACAGCAGGCAGGCAGCAGAGAGTGAGAGTTGTTCTAGTTGTGTTATCAGACACTGTGGTCAGTGTGATTCCTCTGTGGTGGAGTGCGGTCAGAGCACATGACTGCCTGGTGAACAGCAGCCAGCTGCTTTAGATTTACAGATCCCTGTGCATGAGTCAGACATGGTGGGATGTGTGTGTGTTGGTTGTGTATCCACACTCTAAAGAGTCGCACTGCTTTTATCTTCCAGCAAAGGGTCGGCCTCACCGAGACTGGAGCTGCTACACAACATCGACCCTCTGTACGTTGACGTTGCTCCATGTAAGTTCACGTTGCACTGTACATGAACGTTTTCCCATTTTGTCTGTGCTGCTTTTTATACTCATCAGAACACTTTGTGCTGCTTTTTATACTCATCAGAACAATTTATTTTAAGTACTATTTAATCTGCACGTTATTTTCTCAATCTATCATTTAATTTTGCCAGGTAGTTAAGATGAATGTCCAACACAACAAAGGTAAATATAACATTTTTTAACCAGTAGTCCAAAATCCCAAGATATTTAGTTTACAACAATATAAAACAGAGAAAAAGCAGTGGACCCTGACACCCTGTAAATCCTGGAAACAGAGAATATTTTACATTTTCTCTTGAAAATAGAGAAATATTTTAAAAAGAGACCAAGACATGCAATGACCACACTAAACAAAAGCAAGCAGGACTGGATGTAGCTTGAGGCTGACACCTTGTGGCCAAACCGGGAGAAAGAAATGCAACTAAATTTCCCTCTGTCTCAAAAATCCGAATACTAAAATTGAAAACTGATTTATTGTTGAACCAATAGTCGAATATCTGAGTCCACCCCTGTTCTGCTCTGGACACTTGGAATAGTTTGCAGAGGGAAATTAAATTGAAGAACTCTGTATTCAATGCTAGCGTTAGCATTTATTTCAAGCAGAGCCTCACAGATTCATTAGCATGGATTCAGACTGCATCTACACTGACTGACCTCACACCAGGCGGGGAACTGCAACTTCAGACTCCTCCATTTATTTATCATCTATATACAGATGTGGCCTGGAGCCTCCTAGATCATACAGGGGTAGAGGCAGGGTAGGCACTGGACAGCTCAGCAGTCTATCACAGCGCACAGACAACTCTACAACACTTTACAGTCATCACTACACCTCACTTATCATTAGAACCATAGAGACACGGGAACTCCTGGCTGGTTTAAACCCTCCAAGGCATAAGTCACCTAGCAGTGAAGGGAATAATTTGATCAAGCATGTCGAGGTGATGGGAGCCTCCTCCCTGTGCTGTGTGGGATGTGTGTAATGTTGTAATTGTGCTGTTTTGTCTCGCTCTCTTCCCAGCATGGCCACAAGTATCAAGGGCTCATTGTTTGAGGCCAGACATCAGGAATTGAATAGAGTCAAGTCAAAGCAGACTGAGGCCTGAGAACAGCACGTTACGTAACGTTTGAGTAACTCGCGTTAGCTTCTTAGAAATCCACATTATGTTCATTATGAGTGTCTAATGTTTATTTGAGCGGATTATAAGTTGGAGGACTGTGGCTGTAGTTGGGTATTTTCAGATGATGCTGAAATCGATATACTTTAATTCATGTGTTGCTTTCTCTAGCCCATGAAAGTAATTTCTCAAAGTTTTATTAAACAACTGTTTTCTTACATTATTTCATACATTTACTGTACCTGTATAAAATGGTGTTTGTTATTCTGTTTTCATCTGATGAATGCTGATAAACTGTAATCAGCCACTGATGAATCAGTGAACAGTGTAACAGTCGGAGATAGCTGGTGTTTGAGAGCGGGGCGTGTGTGTGTTCGGTTTAAACTGTGAGTGCAGGGAGGTTTCCAGGAAATCAGACCAAGTGGAGTGGTATCTTAATATTACATGAAGGAAACCACTTCCACCTCTGAGGAGGTAGCAGGCTGCTGATCTGAGGCCATGGGAACAGATGGAAGGTGTAGAAGTTTCTAATCCATGCCCCAAAGATTATAGTAATCATCTTCTGTCCTGTGTGGTGCTGTATTATAGTTTGGTAATGTACTGGAAATGTTTTGAAAGTTTGCAAAAGCACTAAGCCTTAATGGGGTTTTGCTGATGTCTGTAAGCTGGAGCACCAACTCTGGAGGGAATTACTACCCAGGAAAAGAAAGGAGATATCGACCTGAATTAGCTGAGTGGGACAGCTGAAGCTTCATATGAACCTGAGGAGAACTTTGTGGTATTATTGCACAGAACGAAGGCTGTGGATTATCATTTGCAGCATAGCTGAGTAGGTCCCAGTGAAAACCATCAGGGTCGGTGTGGAGAGTAAGAAAAGCTACTATGACTATAACCTATTCTCACACATATGGGCACGACAGTATTGTTTTAAGACCATCTTGAAAAATCCCGTACCTAACCTGTCATAAGTGCAGCTTTAAAACTAACTTGGTAAAAATAAAATTAAATCACTGAGAAAGTCCCGTACTCTCTGTCAAACTTTCATCAAATGTGTAATGAGTAGCCAAGCTGTACTGGGGGAAAATCCGTATTGTCCAGTCACTGATTCATCACATTCTGGAGACACAGCTTAAGCCAGTGGCACTGGAAATATTCTCAAAGTTTTCAGTTGGTCATTAGCATTTAAATCATTGAGATGAAAACAGGACATGGTGAAGAACAACACTCCTGCTTTGTGAGTGTTCGCCCTCCTGTTTTATGTTTGGGTTTTTATTGTGAGCCACCACACAAGCAGCCAGATGCCTCTTTTCTTTCCTCTTTCCTATTAACCTAGTCTCTCTTTGAGACCTCTGCATTTCTTCTCACTCTGCATGGTTCTCTGGGCTCCTCTGTTGAGCTCATGAAAAGATTTTTTTCCTTTAACATACTTTTCTCCTTTTAAGTTGTTTTTCAAATCCCTCTTCTCTGCTCTCAGTCTATGTGAGGTTCCGACTAAAGTTTCCAAGTTGTTGAGAGCGAGAAACCCTGGAGTTGGCCCAAGACTTAAATCACCCCCAAATTTCCCCCCCCCCTCTATTGAACCAATAGTCACTACCCACCGCCCCTCCCCCTGCCCTCCCTCCTGTTTCTTGAGCCTGTTTGTGAATCCTCCTTTTGTGGATCCAGATGAGCAAAGCCTGCTCTGAGACACTTCTGTCCTGTGCTCATGCAAACAGTGAATATAAGACAGCGTGTGTGCTAGAGACTGGGGCCCCTTTCCTTAAAGAAGAAAGAGTGGAAGACGCTGCAGCACCCCAAAGTAATTCTAAACCTGATGTTTTCAAAGCCCAAAACATTTGTCTTCCCACCAGTTTACATAACTGTACTAACACCTTACTGGCATGGCATCAAGACCCCATTTGTATGCATGGACTGAGCGCTAAGTGTGATAGGTTTGGTCCGCACTGAGCAGCCCAGCTTAATGCATGTCAGAGCAGTTAAGATCCCCACATGTCATTTGTGCAGTAACGAGTGAAGAATTCAAAGTTGAAGTTTTTATCATGTGGTTGCAAAAACACTGAGATTGGAAATGATTTAATTCTGCTGTCATGTTGCTGTGGTGGAATCGCATCTGTCAGACAAGCTTTGACGGGAACATGGGGCTTGTGTGAGTGGGGATTTGTCTGTATGCAAAGAATGTGAATGTGTTTCTGACAGCGCTAGGAGGCTGAAATTACTTGAAAATCTGTCTAAGCGGGACCATATTGTCAGGGTCAACCACAGCATTAACCTGAGAATACTCTCAAGGCCAGATCTCCTCTTTTCTTGTTTAAAAAGCAGACGCGTGTGCTCACTTCTGGGAGACAGTTTCTGTAAGACCCAAGAAATTTCTGGACACCATCAGAGCAAGGATAAATTATTTTCTTTTGCCTTGTGAAACTGGAAAGTGATGCCAATTGTAACTGTGGCCCTTGCTCCTCATTTGCTTACCATTTCAAATCTGCCCACCTGCAGTAATAGTGAATTATTCATTGTGAGTCGACCATGTTACCACAGTGTCTTTGAGAACTTCATATGCTAAACAATTTCTATTCTTAAAGGTACATAACATTTTCCATGTTGTTTGACAAACCCAGTGACAGTGGGACAGGACATGGTGTCTCTCAGCTACACCCCCTCCAAATAACCCTCTGCTGCCTACAGCCTCCTGTTGTTATTCCAGCTTCTCCACCCTGTGTTGTCAAAGTACGGTCTGTAAATCAGCCCCGCCTGCCGCCTAGCCAAGGTTAGAAGAAGGGTTTTTCCAGCCAGTAGTCATGTCAAACAGCCATGGAGGAGCTCTGGGCAGCTAAAAGTCTGAACCAGGGTCTGCCAGAGTGAAGAGGTGGCGTCTTTAACACAGAGAGAGTGGGACAAAGAAAGAGCAACAACCAGGGTTAACATGGGTTTGGCTGTCCCAACCAGGCATCTACAGGAAATGGGATGTGATGGGGGGGGGGCAAACAGTTAGGCGCGCTGTGTGGTTCAGATTGTTTTGAGTCTCACTAGACCTTCATAGACATTTGATAGACTAGCCTTTCCTGATGTTTTGTTGTTGAGTTTGCAGCACAAAGAGAGGTCTTTGTTACTGGTGTATTTATTTTCACGCCTCCACTTGATACTGACTGTGATTTCCAGGTATTTTCTAAAATCTTGTTGCCAGTTTACACAGGGCGTTTTGAATCCAGTGGTCATCTAATATCATCTTAATCAGCACTTTCTTGTTTTTTTTTTATTTTTAAGATGAATGACCTGGATCAGCTCTGTCCTCTGCTCTCTGCAGGTCCTGGCAGGGAGCCTCAGTTTCCTCTGTCTCAGGTGGTCAACAGAGACTCCTGGGCTAACTCTGGCTTCAATGTGTCCATTCACGCAGCCATTCGATCCTCAAATTGGAAGCTGCTGACTGGCTACCCAGGTCAGTATCTTCTGTTACCTGTAATGACATGTTTCGTCTAAGTGGGAAGTGGAAATCAAGCACTTACTGGCACAGTCACTTCATTTACAGTTGCTTCTTATCTGTGGAAATTACAAGGTGCTTTTTCACTGTTATTTGAGTTTTATGGAATAAACAGTTAATCAAATAAAAGTAATCAGCCAGTAAATCAACAATGTAACTAATCATTGGCTGCAGCTACAACTCACAGACAATTGTCAAGTTGTAAAGTCACTACAGCTGTCAGATAGATGCCATGTCTTTTCCTCCTATAGTGAAGCAGAAGTAAAGTACAAGAACCATGAAACTGTATTTAAGTACTTAATTTTGGTGAAAGTACTTGGCTACTTTCCACCACCACTGTTAATGTCCTTCTTGTTGTTTCTGCCAGGATGTGATGTTTGGTTCCCACGGCCCGGCCACAACAGCTCGGAGCCCGGTCACTCTGAGCGGGAACCACTGAAGCTTGTGATGCTCTTCGACATAGAAAAGGATCCAGAGGAGAGAGTCGAAGTATCAGCTCAGTTCCCAGAAGTAGTGCTCCATTTCCTTAAGAGGCTCCACTACTTCCAGAAAAGTGCTTTACCAGTAAACTTCCCTGACGATGACCCCAGATGTGACCCGGGCTCCAGAGGAGCCTGGGGTCCCTGGGCTTAGGCAGAGATGACAGAGATAAATGCTACGAAACAACTGCTCATTCCATCACAATACAATCTCTGTTTTTGTTTAACAGCTAATGCAGACAGTCAGTGGGACAGTTGCTGTGGTGCCCTCAGAGGTTTAGTTCACACGATTGCATAAACTGAGTTACCTCCACATGTTGCTGATTTGTAAAGACTGTCTCCTGCTGTTCCAGGTCTTTGCGCTTCATTTATCTGCTGTTGGGAAGCCGCAGGCCCCTTAGCAGGCTCTATTCAAATAAACACAAATAAATGAAAAGTGCCATTCTAATATTTGTGCCAAACACAAATAATGAGACATGAAAAGTGCCATTCTAATATTTGTGCCTTTTTAGATCACTTGTTTCCCCTCACAGTTGCCTTAAAGTTAAGGAGTAAGTGCTAAATTGGTATCATTTCTGTTTAGTATCTGGAAATGTGAGGAATTTCTTGTGTGTTTCAGGTATCTCTTATATTATGGCTGCAGAAGAAACTCCCACATGCCAGTCATGCATGATTGTGCTGTTCCCATGGAGGTGATTATTTGGTCCAATATATCTGATCAGCTAAAGTTAGTTCATTCTAAAAATAACCAAACACATTTAAGGATAAACATTATACACTTCCAAAGGGATAATTTGCATATTTGGAATCTGAGCAGGAGAAACTAATTTCTTTAATACACGCCTGCTGTTTGACCGTTGGCCTCTTGGGGGTGTGACCTCCCACTGGCAGCAGCATGCAGACTCCCACAGGAAATACTCCCTGCAGAACGGGTGGCCCCGTCCTAATGTGGGCTGCGACCCTTAACCCGCCATGTGAACTGATTGGCAGCAGAGCAAGGCACCAACAATGCCAATCACTGGGGAAACTGGTGCTGCTGCACCGTTTGACATGAGGAGGTTCGTCGTGTCACTGAGGCTTGTTTCTTAGACCTGTCGCCACAGAAGCAGAATCTGGATTGTAGTTTTAAATGCTGTAATCTTGTCTGCCAACGCTTTGTACCGCATGACCTGAAATAATGTCTTAAATGAGTTTTATGGTTATATGGTGACGCTAGCAGTGTGACTGATGCTTTTCACAACCAAATGTGATCATATAGGAGAGTCAAGGCACAGAGCAGTGTGATGGCGTTGTCAGCAAACTCATGTATCTGCTGCTAAGGGTTAGAGTTGTACATGATCTACAAATGTTTAATAGCAGTAAATATCTGTGTGGATGAAGATGAAATAACAATCGCACAGTCTGAGCCAGGATGTCATTGTACTACATGTAAAATGTTCAGTGCCACAATGAGTTTTATGCTTAGTAACATAGTCTGTTTAAGAGGCAGCTGGGCTTTTTTAAAGGATTACTTCTTGGGGAAATACACCTACTTGCCTTTTTGTTGAGAGTCACACTGGACCATTCATCTGCCTGTCATGTCTGTGTGGTAGGTATGAAGCTAGTTAGCATAAACCCTGGAAAGAGCTGAACAAAGGTAAAACAATCCACCTGTCCCTAAGTAACATTTGGTCTTTCTTTGTTTTAATTTATATGCACCCTGCCACAAAATGGTCTGACTCGTAAGCCCCGTTTTTACACGCAGTCTATTAGATGTTAATTAGTGAGGTCTAGAGGTGCTGCTGGATGGATTTTGTTACCTTTGGACAGAGCCAGGCTGTTTCACCCTATTTCCATTATCTAAACTAAGCTAATCTAAGAGCCTCTTGGCAGTGGTATCAATCGTTTCATTTAACTCTCCTCCAGAAAACAGATATGTGTATTTCCCCAAATGTTGAGCTGTTCCTTTACAGATGTTCGGAAACTATGATCACAGCTTAGAAGTCTGCAAACATCCCAAATTTAACACGTGTAATGAGAACGCATTAACGAGCAGTGTAACAAATCAGTCCCAACTCGAGATCCAGTTACTAACATTTTCCAGAGCTTTCAGCCCTATCACACGGCCCTCATCAGTGGAGTTGCTTAGATGGTTTGGAGATGGATCTGCTGATATGCGAGCTCAGTGACTGGCACAATTCCATACAGAGTATCATAAGTCTTTTAACAGCTATGGCTGAAAGCCCTGGAAGAAGGTATTAAGGGCACCTTGAGTTGGGATTGTTTTGTTGATTTCTAAGGCCCACAATGAAGCTTGATGTTTAATTTATGAGTGGAAATTATTTATTTAGTAACAGACAGCACATATGGCCTGCCCAAGGCAGCTGTGGAGTTCCATTTTGAAAACCTAATCCACATTTTTTTTTATATTAACTTATTTTTTAAGAATAGGTGGTTTCTCATTTTAGGTAAAATAACCATGAACATTTATGTCAAAGTGTATATGTGCTTAAAAAAAGATAATATTCTACCAAAGTAGATGTTAAATGGAACTGAAACTGGGATTTCAGTCATGGATGATGACCAGAATACCACATTTATGTTTCTGAGAAAGCCTCTCTTACATTTCTGAGGCCACAAATTTGTCACCTCCGTGTTCTGTTAATTTCTAGTCAAAACTTTGCCTTTCAGTATGATGGGATAGTTCATTTAATTAGATGTTGCCACTGCTTGGCCAGTCATCTAAAACCACAGCCTGCGAGTTTCTCAGCTTGGCTGCCGAACACTTTTGCACTTCTCATCCCCGCTCTGTGGTGAACTTCACCCTCCTTGTCATTAGGTGCAGCCAAACTCGGCGGCGTCACATCTCAGCTCCTCTTCGTCCTTTTCAACGTGGTTTTGGTGTGTCTTTCACACTTCATCTTGCACTTAGACTCGGCCCTGTGAGGTCCATCTCAGAGTCTGTGACGTCGCTCTGACACTCACTTTTTGTTTTCTCAGCTGTGACAAAGCAATGTGTACCTCCAGCGTGAAGCCCCCTGAAAGAAATGACATTGTGAAGATATGATACTGCAGCTGGCAGGAGGCTCGGCACTATATTTATCAAACTGCTAAAAGCTAAATTTTGGGTTTCTTTTGACATGAAAATGCTCTTAAACTTCCGAAGTCTCTCAAGTTTTTCAGAAACACTGTTGTGCACTCCAGAGTTTTCTGTTGGTTAATAATAATAATAATCCATTATCTGAAAAATAAAGATCTCTGATAGGGAAGCTCAAACTACACAATGAGTAATGTATCACTGGAGTGTTTCTACTGCAGACTATTGTTCTTTCAGTGTCAAACTGAAGGTCAGTTTGAGAAACAGTGCTCCCACAAACTGGGTGGATCAGATTGACAATAACTGCAGAGTTGTTTAGCTAGAAACTCCCTGACCGAGTCATGAGACGTCCCTTGTGTTTGCACTCGTTTCAAGTCTCATTTGACTCACCAAGGAGCACAGAGGAGCGGGTGCAGAGGTCCTGGCACCAGTTGTTCTGTTCCCAGTCACAACACTCTCAGAATAGTCCATTCACACTCATTCATTGTTGTGCAAAGCAAAAGTGTTGTTACCATAATTCCTGCTCCTAAATGGGTCAAGTGTCCCTCCTCACACTGGCTCCAAGGCGCTGTATATTTCTGTTGAGTTTGGCCACAATAGAGGACTAGAGACTTGGAACGGGAGGTGGTACGTGCATGGACGTGTCTGGAAATAAAGCAAAAGCTGTGCAGTGCATAGATTGACGTGATGGACCTGAATAGTCTGCACTGACTGGTGTTAGCTGTGGATCTTTAGCTCAGCTGTTAGGCTCCCCATGAAGGTTGAGACTCACGTGACACGTAGTCTCCTCGTGTGTCAGATGGCAAATAACATGCTGAAATAACAGCTGTTTTACATAGATGAAAAGATCATTAATCATAATCATTGAATTACTTAATATATTTAAAAAGAACATTAGGTTTTGACTGTATTTGCTGTTGCAGAAAGTAATACAGGAATTCATTATGCAAATTTTTCAGCCAGCAAATCTGCAACTAATGATTATTTTACTTATGGCTGAGTCTGTTAATTACCTCATAAATAAATCATTTACTATTTAGTGAATACAATGTCAGAAAAAAGTAAGTCTATCATAATCTAAACTTCAAGGTGATCTTCAAGATATTCAGTTTTATTTCATAAAAGACAAAGAAAAGCAGGAAATACTCATAACCAAAATGTTGAAACCAAAACATGTTTGTAAAATCAACAACTAACAGATTATAAAAATAAACTGAATATTAATTTCTAATGACTATCCAGCTGTTACTGGAAATATGAATGAAATCTTAACCAGAAAATGTGATGTTATACTTTTATCTGATGTACTTTTAAAGAAGTATATTTTCTCCAATTGTAGCTAACATTTAAAGTTTTTGCAATAAGTAATATTTTTATGTTACTACTCACTATGCAGAATGCACATTTCATATTAATGTCTATCATAATGGTTGCATTAGAAGTCTTGATGCTCACTGTGTTCATCACTTTCATGTTGCAGCTGGTAAAGGTGGAGCTAATGTTAACTATCTTATATACTTGTAAGATGAAGTACCTTACGCACTGCTCAGGATCAACTGAGTCTAATGATTCTATTGTATTTAGTTTTATTCATTTGATTCTGAAACATAGATGAAGTTCTCAAATGCATGTAATGCAGTAAAAAGTACTAGATTTGTCTCTGAAATGTAGTGAATCTGAATCTGAATCAGCTTTATAGGCCAGATGTGTTGGAGAATCAGCTTTATAGGCCAGATGCGTCGGACAAACGAGGAATTTGACTCTGGTACATTGGCTCTCAATGTACATGTACATATCCCCATGCAAGGGGCAAGTAAACAAAAAACCAGCATAAGGCTAGTATTTCAAAATAAGCAGTTGTAGCACCCTTCTCACTCTACCTAGGAGGTGCACCAACTAGACAAGTTAGAATGAGGGGTGCTTGGGTTCGTTTAATCAAAATTAAAATTGATAACCCCTATAACTAGTAATAAGGACTTGTATTAT